TATATATATATACATATATATACACACATACACACATGTTTTAGGTGTTCTGTGGTGCATTTACAACCCATTCAAAATGAATAGGCTGTGACCTTAATGCCAAGCACTGCACGCGTATGAAGGACCTCTCAAGGTGACTGGTTAAAGATTCTGATGTATAAATCCCTGAGTAAAACATAGCAACTTCAACTGTAAACTGTTTTTAAATAGGTTAGCAGCTTTGGCAAAGACCTTCTTTTAAAAGAGTTGACTTCCTGACAAGTGGAACCGCCACCGGTAATCACGCAGGAGCAAAGGATTTCTAACTTTAAGTGGAAAACCTTGTTAATGTACTCGAGGGGCAATTAAAAGAACTGGAGAAAAAGTTCCCCATGAAACTGGAGAACTAGCCTTTTCTATTCTTTAGGGATTAAAAGATGAAATCTCTTAAGTAACTATAGCCAAATACTTCATATAGACAATTTATTTGCTGGAGTTTTTATAAACATGCCACATAAAATGTATAATTCCAATACAACATAAGGTTGGCATGAAAAGTGGATGTGTTTTATATAATGATGCACTAGGTGTAATTAATTGTACAGCCTTTATTACATAAATGCTACCTAAAGAATTAATTATCTGTATGTTACAGCAGTACTAGAGCATTTGCTATTGGACCACTATACACCAGTGGTATAGGTCAATTGAAATCCTTTTATATCAGATTTATAGGTGTAAATTTACACATTTAGTAACAATGCCTCAAAAGCGTCAGGCACATTTCAACACTAAAACAGCACCCTAAAGATAATGTACTAGGTTTACATGACCTAATTCCAGGCAGCTCCCAACACTTGATCTCTCCAACAACATTCCCGGAGTAGCTGTCGACACCACAGAGTGTCATTTTGCCACTTCCTGAATGAGGCAACCCAGGTGGTAAAAGGGTTACAGCAATCCCATGGGCATAAGGATGAAAGAAACAAAACAGAAACTATGACTGTCTGAAATTCAGAATTGTGATAGATAAGATCACATATCATGCTAACCGGCCAAAAACCTGTCCAACGTACAATCCAAAGAATAATGAATTATATTTGCACTGAAACTTGAATGTAGCATATTTGAATGTATACAATGGCTTTGCACATACTGAGGAAAGAAGTATGGGCGCTGACGTTGCCGGCTAGTTTTCTAAAGATGCATGTTCTGACGTCAAGATCAAGCATTCATCACAGATGTATGAACCATTTCACTGGTTGCATGCTTGTTCCAGGTCAGTGACTAAGCAAATAATCAGTAACCCCGAATACTGTACCTTAAAAACAAGGCTGAAATTGCAGCCGTCATATCTGCATGCAATATATTCAAAATGGAGTCTGTAAAAACAGAGCAAGCACTGGCTGCGTTTCCTTATGCCATCATGCATGTATGTGCATACATTAAATAGCATCAGCATAGGGATCAATAACTTTTTTATGGTTCACAAGAGTCTTCTGGTCATTACATTATCCGAATTACATTCTACAAAAACATTCTAGTATTTTCCTAAATGATGTGCCACTGATACAACCTCTGCCCCTTGTACTCATGATGCCGTTCAAATTCAGTGCTCTAACTTAGTAGAAAGCAAGCACAACCATCCTATATGGAAACAACTCCGCAAAACTGTTCTACTTGACCCCAAGTTCACATCCCTCCAAAACTCCCAGCAATTTTCAAATCCACTATTGGAGCCCATGGCAATGCAAACTTCTATCTTACACAGAGCACACATGTTTAAATACACTGATATTGTCACAAGCGTGTTCTCAGTAGTTAGAGGAAGCCTGGTAAATAAAACCTACATTCAGGATGTGCTACACCAGACAATAAACCACCCACACTGTAATTAAACACTGCAAGTCTGACACATTGAGTAACTTTGTTCTATTAACCTGTTCTCTTTCTACTCGTCTCTTCTCCTCCTCAGATCTTCTACGTTCTTCTTCTTCTTTACGTCTCCTTTCTATCTCCTCCATTCTCTTCTTTTCTTCTTGCTCTCTCCTACGTTGCTCTCTCTCCTGTTGCCTCCTTGCCTCTCGTTCTCTTCTTTGTTGCTGGATGGGAGAAAAAAAATAAATATCTTACAGCCACATAGCAGTAACTAGTATTTCACTCTATAAATCGGACCTCTGCTTATGCAGACAGTCTAGGTGGGAAATATTAGGACTAACAGAAGAGCTGACATTCTGACTTTTCATTGAGAAACTGTTGCCCCAGGTTCCCACCAGTGCCAGTCATGTAAACGTCTTGGATGGGTGGAGCATAGGTCCAACTTAGGGGGGTCAACAATTAAAAAAGGAACATAAAAAAGCAGACATGTTAAAAGGCAGGACAATGTGTTACTACATACTGCTAACATTGTGCCAGTCATACAAAAGAAAAATATAAATTGGTATTAGTAGGTATCCTTCAGGCTAAGAAAAGGAGAACAGAATAAAAAGCTAAACAATACACTTACATGGAATGTCATATTTCAAATGCTGTACATGCTAAGCAAAGGTTTTTTTTTAATTTGATATTAACAGTCAATTTGCTATAAACATGCAATTCAGGTTTGCTGGCCCTTTAAAGGAAAAATACTTTGTTGCAAAATAGATCTAACATTCAACACTCCAGGAAAAACAAAACAGACTGCACAGAGAATATCCAACCTCAGAGACACTTGTAAATCAAGGTATCATGAACACCCACATAGCATGAGGTGCCTTGACGTGATTTACCCATTCAGCTTGATTAAGCCATTTATAATGCGTTTATTAACATATCGCCAAGTCTGGATATGCTGTGTATGATCCATTTCTTGTGAAGTGTCAAATGATAAAAAATGCACATAACATTCAAACATCACTTTCTTCCACAGCAACACTACCCTCTACAGGACTTTTCAGAGTTCTCACATTCCTGTTGTGACTGGCTCGAAGCTTTCCCAGAAGTCAGCATGGATAGTCATGTAAAAATTCAGTAACGTCAGCACTTTAAAGTGCAACAAAACTGGAGTTATTGTTTCAAACTTTCTTTTGCATGAGTGTTCAGTTCTGTTTTAAAACTTTTTATTAGCATTTTTATCATTGCACTTCCTGTTTCTGGCTGAAAAGGCTGCCTTACAAATTCTCCCTGTAGGGATAACGTAAGCACCCTACATCATTTTGCCTCTTCCAATGATGACAGCAAAGTCAGTATAGAGACCAACATCCATTAGGCATTCATGTGCATTGCATTCTGACCTCTCTCAGATTTTGTTTTGCTGGGCACTTGATTTGCATCAGTGAATCAGCAGATAGTTATATGCATGCAACTATTAATTTCAGAAGGAGGCAAGGAAAGTCTGCCTCAATATCTCTCTCTTGACCGGGTATACTTTAAAATCTCTCCCTGCCCAGCCTGTGATTGGAAAATAAAGGACAAGCAGAACATTCACAAGGTCATTACTTTGATCCATTTACTCATGTAAGCACGTGAAGACAAAATAGTACACAGTTATAGAATCCTGACTGACACTGCTGGTCCTTTTTCTCACATTGTGAACGCTGTTGTACAGAGAGCAAATATAAAGACAGATCTGAATACATCTACAGGCAACTGCTTAAAAAAATATTTAAAAAGGAGAACTATGGGGTTAAGGCTTTTCCCCCATAGTTCTCCTTAGGGTAATGAGAGGACACAAACTAGCGTCCTCCCATCACCCTAGGCTCAGTATACCGCGAGCTGCAGCTCGCGGTATACTGAGACGCCGCAGTAAACCACGAGCTGCTGCTCGCTGTATACTGAGACACCGCAGCTGAAGCGGATCCCGACAATTATGTGTGGATCCGCCCAGCTGCGCTACTGACAGCTGGCTCTGCCTTTCTAGAGGCAGAGCCAGCTGTACCCGCCCCCTCCCCCGTCCGTTCCGCCAGTCAGCACTGGCGGATCGGAGCAGGGAGGGGGGAATCCAGCGCCTCCCCTGTCACGGTAGAGAGCCGTGACAGGATCGTGAGGTGAGCGAACGCCGGTATGTGTTCGCTCACCTCCCGATCTACTGAGCCGACCTGTGACAGTCTCATTGTCACAGGTCGGCTAGAACTATGAGGCGAGTGAAAAGCACTCACCTCATAGTTCTCCTTTAAGGACTTCCAATGGCTATATAATTGGAGTTATTCATCTATCCACCTGAAGATCTGCTAGAAGGATGTTGTAAGCATGCAATAAATCTAATTTAAGTGACTATTAACAATAGTTATAGTGCACAAAATGTAAGCCCCACGCATGAAAGTCTTTGCAAATATCATAGCTGATCTAATAAGCCATATCAGCTTTTTTTTTCCTAGACAGCAATAAAGTCTGCTATTCACAGGTTGAGATTATTGCTCAATTAAAACTTTTTCTGCATTGTTATGTAATAATCTCTGCAGTATTGACTGTATCCGAGATGTATGTCAGCATCACTGGTAAATTAAATACCTGGAATTTGTCACTGGGGCTTCTTATTACCGATTCAAAAAAGGCAGGGAGATCCCCTATCATGCACAACGGATGGCTGTGTATATTGGGAATAAAATAGCTCATACAATGGACAGTGATTTCAAACAATTCCAAAATGTATGGTTACCCTAAGCAATACTATGTTGTAGGTTGTGTTACAACTCAAACATATCATGTGCAACTAAAATCACTTTTTCATTGCAAAACACATCTGTACTAGAAATGCAGCAGGCAACTGCTCATCTTAAACTACTGCGTGTTGTGATGTACTAAAATATTTGTATACAGCATTGTAACTGGTCATATACTATGACACTTGTCTTACAAGAATCTATATCTATGTAAAGGAATCCTGCTATAAACTGCAAGACCTTACAGATGCTTTTATTGGTAATGTCAGAAGTGTTTTGTGCTGCAAACAAAACCAGCAATAAGAATAAACATTTTTTTAATGAAACTAAAATGTGTCAGATTCATCTTCACGGAGGTCTGTTTCAGTAGAAGGGGCCAATACTATACCTCTTCAAGGCGCCTTCTTTGCTCTTTTTGCTGCTCTATACGTTTCTGTCTCTCTGCCAGTAGTTGCCTCTTGTACTCCTCCTGCTCTCGAAGTTGTTGCTCCTGCAGCAGCTGCTGCCTTCGTAAGGCTTCAGATCGCTCCTTGTTCTCCTGCTGTAGTCTTAGGAAATCACGTCTAAGTGTGGACTCCCCAGGCACATTAACTATTGAGCTGAGAGAGAAATAGTGATAAATTTAATCAGACAATTCAAAAGGACACTGGCTGTACAGTAATACTGTGTAAGCTTCTGACTGCGATGCATGCCAATCATATAGTCAGTAACAGTTTTAACTATACAAAATAATCAATGCAATGTACAAATACAGTGCCTGGTGGTGGCAAAAATCCTATGAAAAAATGTACAGACTCAGACAAAGTTCAGCTAACCAGAAGATAAGGGTACAAAAAGCTAGATTTAAGTTATATAGGTTTTCAGTACTAGAGCGGTATGGATTATATTATGAATAGGTCGATTACACAGTGCTTTGGACCGATTGGTTCAGCTATGTCACATGGGTGAGCCACATGCTACTCCATACTCAGAAGGACCAGGTATTTCCTTTGGCTCTTGGCGCCGTGGGGAAGGAAAGTAAAGGGAAGTAAATAATGCTGAGAATAAAAAGGTGGGGGGGATTTAAAACAAACCTGTTGCTTTGCCCTAAATGGGCAGAGCAAAGGTCTGTTGTAATTATAGACTAGGTTTTCTCAAAATTCCTAAAGCTGTATTAAAACAAAGCATAATAAGGTGAAATGATGAAAGCAACATTTTTTTTTTCTTACAGCACATGGGATATGGGATGTGCATCAACATTGTGACATACCTTGGCTCTCCTTCCTGCTCAGGCACTTCCTCTTCCTCCTCTTCACTTCCACTGTATTCATACTCCGTTTCATCTAAACAAAAAACAGACAAGTGAGCAGAATATCGCCAACAAATAACGATCACTTATTTTACTAGCCGAGAAAGATCACCTAGGACTAAAATCAGGTTCAAACCTCAGGGTCAAAAGCCTTCGGGTATTAATAAAAACATTCTGCAATGCGTACAACAATCATAATAACAATATTTATTGATTATCCCCACTTTCAGTGAATTCAGTTTCCTCCCAGGATTACAGCTTTATCTTTTATAAAGATGACCCCAGAGATCTACAAATATTTTACACACACTACTCCCTGAACTGTGCACATATCCCATCTGGCTTTACAGAAGCCCACGCACCTGTGCATAACTCAGGTACCAATCAGAAATCTGTATTTAATAAAGGATCAAAGGTAAGCCTGGAATGTATACAGAATAGTTTGTCAATATTTTTTTGATTTTATCAAGAATAATTCAGGTCTTAGAAACCTCTGGAGCAATTCCAAAACAATTAAACTGAACTATACTAGTGGCCAATTATTTCTTAGATTTACAAAATACTTTTACATATCCATAGCTCTTCTGTATGATGGTGTATTTATAATACAATAAAAAGTAGATTACATCTTAATATATGGTCAGAATAACAGTGATGGTTACAGTATAAGCAGTGTTTGAAAACTGCTGGTAAAGCTCTTACATAGGAGACATTTACTGAACTTTAAAATATAAAAATACTAGATGTTAAATGTATTTTAAGTTTGAAAGTTTTTTTTTAAAGCAAACTCTAGTCTGATATTTCCCATGTCAGTCCTCACTCAGTTTTTCCAGTTGCATTCATATATTCAAGGGGTGAAATTGGAAGCATACGGCTTTCATTTATCAGTCAGTCTGGAAAGCAAGCACTGTTAATGGCAGTTAAACGTTTAAGAGGGAAAAATAAACCACCCACCTTTCTCTCCTCTCTTCTTCCTGGTCCTGTCTATGTGGTCTTTCAGCTGGATACGGACTTGTCGCTCATTAGGCTGGTCTCTTATAAATGGATGTTTTAACAGCTGTTCTGTTGGAGGGCGCTGCATGTAATTTTTTACCAGACAGCTTTCAATGAAACTAAAAAACTTCTTTGACCTGCAAAATAAAGTGCAAGGTGAAAACAAAATCACTAAACCCAAACTTTAATAGCTGAAATGATGGCTGTAAAATCTCTAGTATTAAAATAAAAAAAAATGTTTTTTGGTTTTAGTGGTTTAAATATAACTTAACAAATGTTCTCTGTTTCTTTGGTGGCTAGCAAATATACAGACCTGCCAAACAAGTGATAAACAATTTATTGCTGTCTGTGCCCAGCATGCTCTAAGATTATAGGAAGTAAAATGTAAGTTGGGATTCAAGCAGTACGGAGTTCTTTGAAGTGAACCGGTCAGTTATAAATACTCCACCAGGCTGTCTCCTATAAAAGAATAGGTTTTATGCTTACCTGTCCAGCAAGTAAGATCTTGGCGTTCTTCAGAGCTCTAAGTGCCGCTGCTATCCAACACGTCTAAGTATGTCAGATAGAATGTACCCTGTTGTATGCTGTGGTTTCTATGGCTAACCTTAACCACTTTGGGGTCAGCAGTAGAAACAAGAGTGCAGTGGGGGACACGTCAACCGCCACCCGAAAGTATCAGAAAGCACTGGCACCTGGAGCACTGCAAAAGAGCGAAGATATCACTCGTCGCCCAATTATTACCCCCCCCCCCCCAAACTAATAGTGGTTATGAGGAAATCAACTCTTAAATCCCAACCATAAATTTTGACTACACAAATTAAAATATGGTTAAATGGTACTCTTTGAGTTTCGTGCCATCAGCTACAGGTTTCTACTGTAATCACAGTTGCCAACACAGGAGAAACCAATAAATTCCATGACCATGAGGAGCCTTATAAAATCACTAAATAGCGAGAAATTGGGATCTTCAATAGCCATTAGGAGTAAATACATTTTTAAATCTCATTTGTAACATCGATACTTATAATTAAAACACATTTTAATGGCAGTAGACCGAGCACAATAATGCTTATAAGCTCACCACTTCTTAGATTTTAGCCGAGGAGGAGGATTTCTGGGAATAAGGAACAGCGCTCTCATTGGATGCATATCACAAAGAGCTGTGAAAAAAAATGTATTATTATTATTATTATTAGGTATAAAGGAAAATATGCAGTGTATTGTAAAGCAAAGGCAAAAATCAAGATACATCTATACATAAACAGAAAGTAAAAAAAAAAAAAAAAAACACTTACGAGGAGCCCCTTCTGCCATCTCTATAGCTGTAATACCACAGGACCAAAGGTCACTCTGCAAAAAGGAATAAAAGATATGCTGCATAATTAAAAGTGCTACTGCATGTAGGGCTTTCCTTATAAGAAACCTATCATGATCGAAAAGTAGGAACTGCCATTGTTAAGGCAATCAGTGGATCAAAGGTCATTTATAGTAGGACGCTTGCCAGGCTGTCAACTGCCAGACTTCACATGCTCCTATCTTTTGAGTGTGCAATGTGTCAGGTCAAACAGTTGCAACTATCTTGAAAACACCATCTAGAGTGTAAAACTCAAGACGAAGTAAAGCTAAATATAAGAATCCTTCACAATTAAGCATAGGTATGCTCATTTGTCCCAAAAGACACTAGACTGCACATTAATAGTTTTTCTCCTTATAAATTATGCCCATTATTGTATTGCATTGTTTAAAAATCAAGCATTTCCAAATAAGCACAGCCTGTGGGCCTCCCAATTCTGAGGAACCCAAAGTCAGAGCAAGCTGGAAACACTTGGACTGTTAGTAGTCTTTCAACATTTGGATTTCCTATGAACAGGAAAATCATCTGCAGAGGCATGGCTTCTTTAAAACACAGCCCTATCCAAGAAATTCCACTAAATAAACCGTTCAGTATGTTTACAAACTATGTGCAGATTATGGTTATGCTCCTGGTAATAATGTATTTCATTATAATCAGTGCAACACAATATTTTACATACCCTGTAATCATAGGTGGCATCTGGGTTCTCATCGCAAGCTATAACTTCGGGAGCCATCCAGTATGGTGTACCAATAAATGTATTCCTTCGGCCGACAGTCCTATCCAGCTGTGCACTGACACCAAAATCCACTGCAGAGAAAAGTATGAGCAGAACACGTTGACAACTTCAAAAACACATCTAATTAAAGGCTGCATTGTCAGCAGATCTATAAGCTGTAAAGTCTTCAGAAAGCTCATTGGGGATTTCTATGATGACATTAAATCAATATCATTTTGCACTGTACTGCTCTTTCAGCATATATTTGTATGGTACCTCCATGTTTACCTGGAGGAACAATTACACACAAAAATAGAGATTGGTATGATGTCTCCAAATTACCTTTCCATGGGTTCTCAAGTGCAAGTAATTCAACTACGCCTTAAGTGGACACTCAAAAATCAAATTCTACCAATCCATCCCCCTATGTATGATGCTTTATAAACAGACATGTCAGGTGTAAAATGCTGTGATTTTGAAATACTTACACTTGCAGAGCATTCACTTCCTGCTTTGAAAGTGCAAATTACTTCAGTTTGCCAACACAATGCACACTGGGATTGCCTTGTCATCAGCAGAATTGCTGGGAAATCTCATCTGTAATCTCAGGGAAAGGCATTTTCCTTCCCCAAGATGATGTGCATGGTCACATGTCCTAGTCACATGTGCCAGTAATCCAGGAAGTAATAGGAGATCTAGTAATCTGCCCTTATTAAACATGGCCACTGTCAGTAGACGGGAAGAAAAAAGAAATAAGGTATGCAAAGAGTACAAAGCCTGCACTTATCTAGAAATATGTGTTTGCATTTATAAACATTTCTAAGGGTGTGTTCGTTATTTTAAAGATATGGGTGAAGGTGCACTTTAAAAGAGAACTATGAGGTAAGTGTTTTTCCCCATAGTTCTCTTTGGGTCACGGGAGGACATATACTAACCTCCTCCCGTGACCCAAAGCTCAGTATATAGCGAGCTATTGCCCGCGATATACCGAGAGCGCCGCAGCTGGGACGGATCCCAACAATACTGTCGTGATCCACTCAGCTGTGTGAGTGACAGCTGGCTCTGCCTATCTAGAGGCAGAGCCAGCTGTGCCTGCCCCCTTAGGAGGTAAACTAAGGTGTTAAAGGTGATGACACATGAGCCAGCCACTCTTCAGTACTACCTTCATAGAGCTCGCTCCTAAACATGAATATTTGGGTTTAGTCAATAGACAAGGATAACAGGCGAAGTACTGTCAAATTTTGATGGGACCATTTATCACATACAGTAACAATAGTGTCCAACTAACTGTTCCTTCCAAGAATTACAGGGCTTAAAGAGTTGTAATGAAAAATGATTAACTGTAAATGCCTATGGCTAGCTTTAGGCAAGATATAATCATTTCATAAATCTCAACCTTTCACATTTTTGTTAACCTGACATAAGCTCACAATACATGGGCAACAACAAATTGAGATCTGATCATTCTTGTACAAAAGTAGAAAATTCCTAACATGCCAAATTATCTGCAATAAAAGACATAAAATGTTGTATTCAATGCAATATTTCAAATGTTTGGTAAAGGGGGTCCTAGATGCCCACAAACTTTGCTAGTGCTGGCATCCTGGAGCAAACCTAATTCTGCTACCAGTTGGCCTTTGACCATTAAATGCATAGGCAGAGAACAGGTTTGCATTTATGTCCCACTCCCCAAAAGCACCCCACCATTCCATTCAACTGCCAGGACAGAAGGGAGCAAAGAAAATACCCAGTAGGAAAAAGCCGGAGACTTGTACCCCTTTCCCTCCAGTTACAGTACTGGTGGCTTGGTGACTGGCGAGGACATGATGGTGGTGAGACTGTCCCTAGTCCTGGGTAAGCTCTGAGTAAAGTGACTCAGAACGCACAGACCTTGCTTTGCTCACCCTAGCAGCTGAACAGAGTGTTGCGGGAGAATTAGTGAAAACCATTTTTGCCAGCATGTTCAAAGCATAGGTTTACTTTAAAGTCCAAGCATCAAGTAAAGTCAAGCATCTGCAAATAAGAGGTAAAGTGAGGTTTGATCTAAAAAGGTTCCAAAGACTGACTGGATTCTATTTCTAGGCTTCTAAATATATTACAAGACATTATGAAGTCTTTGTGCGAGTGTCTGGGAGGGCGAGTTTATTTATAATGTGGTCACATGAATGTCTGTGGAATGCCTTATAAAAAAATGTTCTAAAAAAATTAAAGCCCACAAAGCCCTATAATTGCATTCTTCACTGCACTCTAGTATGGAGAAATTGGTGCTGTTGTTCTTATTATACAGGAAGCATAACGTACTGTAAAAAACACGTGAAGTGAAAGGAAAAAAAAAGGAATTAAATGAACGATCAGAAGATGTCACTATGGGCATTAACGGTTCTCTTCTATGAATACTCAAACCAGATATTCTATAGCCATAATTCAGATCTAATCATATTCTGGTTGACTGATGCCCTATGTGCAATTCTGTTGGCATTAATACAGAATGACCAAGATATTTTCTGTACATACTAGACAACTGAACAGCCATAGTATAAACATGTGAAAGTGCTTAGGTATTCCATTTGTGGCAGCAAATCTTGGGATCCAATACATAACAAACCATATGCTGCCTTATACCTTCCAGATCAACCCAATTTAAGATTTTTCTCAGGAACATGCACTTTTGACTTTCACTTACGGTGTTTGACAGATCTTTAACTGCTCTGGGCAAAGGGGCTGTCACATTTGTTGCTGTAACTTTAAAGAGGTATGAGGCAACCTCCAGGTAAGCTTGCTCTCAAATTTATGGTTATACATGCCCCAATATTAGTAGTCGCATAGACTATAGAAGAGCCACACTCTAATAGTGTTGTATGTCCTCCACATGTTAGTAACTGCATGCAACTGAGACTTCAATGTCAATGGTTAGCAGGTTTGAGTGACATGGCATTTTATGTATACACTTATTTACACAGTGACTTAAAAGGAACAGAGATAGGGCTACTTTTCATGAGAGGCAAATTCTCGCCTCCTAACCGGAGTGAGAATATTGTTTTAATGGGCAACAACACTTTTTATTTTAAAAGAAATCATCCCCTTATCTAGTTTAGTAAAGATCTGTATTCCATCACCTACCGAGCTTCACCTCTGCATTTTCTGTTAGCAGCACATTCTGTCCTTTAATATCTCTGTGAATCACGTGGTGAGCATGGAGATGTGCCAAACCCTAAACACAAGACAAAACAAAATGTGGTTATACCAAACTGAGTTTATAGCTTGTTTGACGAGAACGTATATTGCCTTGCTGAGGCATTGTAATTAAATGATCTGCTAAGAAAGGGGCAATGAGTCATTCACCTTTGTCTTAAACAAGTGGAACCTCATCCCGTTTTTGTTTTATAACTGAATGCATTTGGCAATCAGCGTGATGAACCAGTAGGCTGAAACCGCATTAGGTGTAAAAGGCAAGACAGAAAAGGTCAGAATTATCTTTGATGGTTCAAACGAATAATTCATGAGTGCTAACTGCTGATCGCAGCTACTAAAACAGCAAAGATCTAGCAGTAAACAGATAACTGATGCTGATGCTGATGTCCAAATGCCAACTACAGAAGGATCATTTTTTTGTAAATGGAATGTTCATATAGTACACGTGTATGTTTCTGCAATTGAATAGAAACTCAATGCCTTAATACAAAGGAAACAATGCAAAAGAAAAATCAAACCTGGACAAACAGCTGTCCTAAAAAGAGTATGTTTACTTACACACACACATACATACAAAAGGCCTTTCCAGCCATGATAAATCAAGTGTACATTTAATAGTTAATGTGCTATCTGAGCACATGCAAACAGCAAGTTTAGGATTTCATGTTTTAGTTACACATTTAAAGATGACCTGCAGTTGAAGTTTAACTGTTTTCCCTTCATGGTAGGCTGGGTGGGCTGTCATTAATTGCTACAGAAGATAGCAGTTCCAGGTGCAAATGAAAAATACTATGTTGTATTACCAGCCACAGATATCTCATCCATTTTGATATAATCTCCTCCTTACATAACTGCTAGAGAAAAGAGACCGTAACAAACATTTTTATTGAACATGCCAATTTTCAAATGGACATCTGTGAAATGAAAGACTCTTCGCTTTCTCTTCTGAAATTGGTTGATTCTATAACTTTGTGAACACTCCTTCTTAATTGTGCAATATAAAGGCAGCTATGAAAAAATACATAAATGTAATTTAATCTCATGGACTCAAAATAATTGTAAGGTGCATGTTAGGGGTATTAAGTATCTAAACCGTTCTTGATAGCCTCCTGTAATGCATGTACAGCAGCTGGCAGAGTAGGAGGTGGGTCATCATTCTGAGAAATCAGGACTTGCTTCACACAATGCTATCCGTCTGACACAATATTCATGCCTACAAGTGGGGGATGACCTCATCACCTTGATGCTGCTTATGCTTTTCTAATCACAGGCTTGGACATGACATCGATCGGACCATTTTGCTTAACTGTAGTGTAGTCGACAGAAAGATACTGGACCTAATATCTGTAAGGGTGATTGGATCATACGACTGGCTGAAAAGAATTACAAATCCTTTGGCAGAAAAACAAGTTCACATATACAGGTGAAACTCGAATAATTAGAATATCGTGCAAAGTTCATTTCACTAATGCAACTTAAAAGGTGAAACTAATATATGAGATAGACTCATTACATGCAAAGCAAGATAATTCAAGCCGTGATTTGTCATAAGTGTGATGATTATGGCTTACAGCTCATGAAAACCCCAAGAACCCCAAATCCACAACCTCAAAAAAGTAGATTATTACATGCAATCAATAAAAAAAGGATTGTACATAGAACAATATCGGACCTCTGAAAAGTACAAGCATGCATATGTACTCAGTACTTGGTTTGGGCCCCTTTTGCAGCACTTACTGCAATTACTTTTGCACGATATTCTAATTATTCGAGTTTCACCTGTATGTATTGCAACTCTAAATTGGTTTGCCTAAAGGTCCAGCTTTCAAGCTGAGCTTCAGGCAGAGAGAAAAACTCACTCACTCAGTATAGGTGCCTGAATCTGATACCAGTGTCTGTGACCCCCTCCTACAGCAGCACTTAGAATGAGAAAGGGATGGTGCTAAAAGCCAATCAGTGGCAGAGGTGTATGGAATTAAAAAAACCAAATTACACTGGCCAGCATTACAAATCTTTCAAGACAATTTACATATACAATGGTACCTCGGTTCACGAACTTAATTCGTTCCACGATTCTGGTCGCTAACCGAATCAAACTGCGATCAGACCGTGATCTCGACTAGAGGAAGCCACGACCATGTGTCAGAGCAGGGAAGATGGCTGCGGTCGTGTTCGTCACCCGATGCAGAGTTCACGAACGGAAGCAAAATTTTGCTTAACTTTCTGGTCGCGAACCGAATTGTTCACGAACAGAAGCGTTCATGAACCGAGGTACCACTGTATGTGTTAAGCTTTTTGCCTGGGGTTCAGCTTTAAACTATTCTTTAACACATGCTATTGATGTTGGCTATTTATGGCTTGCTCTTGTTCATGGAGGAGAGACCTATTAACTGTGCACTAATGGGCATGTCCTTAAGGCTATCTGTATACCGGGCCAGGGTATTGGTACTTTATGGTAGCAAGAAGTGACACTTTAGACATACCCAATATTATAACTCACAACCAAACCAACAAATCTATGGTGTTAGTTTATGGCCTCAAGTTCAAATAGTTGAACTTGCTACGCAGTATTTATGAACCAATTAGCAAATGGAGCCAGAGAAGTGTGCACTGCAATATTAATTATATGGGTAATGTGTTTGGCATCTAGTTTTGTGTTATGGCTGAAAATGTACTTCCATGCAGAAAGCACCCTGCATGCTGCTAACTAGAAAGTCTGTGACGTCAAGAGCCTATAGAGAAAGGATTCCCTTTTAGACTAGCACAAGGTTCAAACAGCTGATTAATATTTCATGACATAACAGTGGGACTACTCAGAGAAAAGAGCACTCCATTCTCACCCTCAAGATTTCACGAGAGATATAAGCAATCCAGTCTTCTTTCAGACTATTCCCCTTTGTGTTCTTCACCAGGTCAGTGATCGAGCCAGCACCACAAAACTCCATTACAAGCTGTGGAACAAAGAAACATCAGCACAGCATAGCATGGCATGGCATAATGGTAATGAATGGACATTTTTATCCTAAAATGCTCATTAGCAGCTCTGTCATACCTCGGAAAGGGGAGACGCTTGTGGCAGGATTTCCAAACACTAACATTTCTGTTTTGACATTCAAATAAAATGGTGCAAAACGTAGAAACCAATTATTTATTCTGTACAAAGATGATGGGTCTAAGTGGTGTGAAAGGTAATTACTCATAACACGTAGACCAATATGCTCAGGGCACCATGGTGTTAACATTATACCACACTTTACAGTCTACAGAGGCTCACAGAAACCATGACCAATAGTATGCTGGATTAAAAAAAAACACTATTAGTCATATTAGTTAGTGACGGTGTACTGCCAACAGTGGCCAAATGTTTTGGTCTTTCATTAACAGGCAATAGCTAGTCACCATTTGGTGAGGTGGCCAAATGGAACAAGAAAGCCCTTCCTCTGAAACACTGGAAAGTATGGTGAGGAATCTAAACACAAAAGGTACTTCTTATAATGCAGAAAATAATTGGCTCATTTTAGCATAGTGGGCTGATCCATGCAAAGCATTTGTTCATGATTCTGGGCTAACAAGACATCCCAAACCATCCAATTATAGCACAAATTGAACCTACATTTACAGAGTCATTTCCTCCAACCTGCATACAACCTGTTTAAGGCTCTTAGTCCCTCATTAGTACAAGGTAAGGAAGATAGACCGGTCATGGGTAGCAGATGATGTAATCACTCCAAAGACCGTTGACCTGGCAGATGAGCACAAATGTTGTACTGAAAAGAGGTTTGCTAAGGGGCATCGGCTTTTTCCATGCCACAAAATAGTATACACATCTAGCAATGACAACATTTTCAGTACAACTGATTGACAATATATTATACTTCTAATACAACATTCATCAGCTTTTACCACAAACAGTGCATATAACACACCGGGACTGATTTACTAGTAGAGGTGGTAGAAGTAGTAGTAGCTGTTTATTTACTGAACTTTCACTTTGTAATGTGAAACGGTGATCACTTGCAATTCCAAATCATGTGCAAGGAAAATATAACAAAAAAACAGGATGTTCTCATGCATATGATTGGGTGACAAACAAATACAGCCTGACCTTATTTACCAAGTTCAGGGAACATTCACTTGCACATGGAACTTTCACTATGCTAAGTGAACAGTCTCTAATCCTTTACTAAATAAACCCTGTAACTTAAATAGAATTCCAGTTGTAAATGTTTGGGGACCAGCCCGGAAAATGTCTGTCATTCAGCTATCCTAAAGTTGTGGTAGATTCCTACCTGTGTGCAATGCAAATAACTGGCAGACAATCGGATACCAAATGGAAATCATTGAAGGCCCAATAGTGCCATGTCAGGTCCACTGATGAGCTGTGCCTGCTAATCTCTGTTCCATGAATGTAATCAAATTGAAAATTGGTTAAGGTTTTTAAGCGTGTCCTAAGGGCTACCTTTGGGATCATCTGCTAAAATCATTTTAATTCAATATACAGATTGTATTCTGCAATGCATGTTAATAAAGTCTAGATGTTTGGAAGCTATTAAATTGGTTTACCCATGCATACGTTGACTTGACTTTAGTACATGATAGACATCACATGGTAGAAGACTAGAGGTGCACCGAAATGAAAATTTCAAAACCAAAATGAAAAAAAATATATATGTCAGGCCGAAACGAAAAATGTTTTTATTCCAACTTCTTAAAGATTTTTAAAATATTTTATTTAATTTATTTTTTCTAACCTTTTTAATTTTTTTTATACTTTATTCATTTTTAGTAAATATTTGTATTTTTTACTTTACTTTTAGGGGCTTCTGGGAATTAGGGGCCTAAAGAGACCCCTGATATTTCCCTTTTAAAATAGAAAAAGAGATTGAGGACACAGAGTCCTCAATCTCTTCTTCTGCAGCCCCTGTTATAAATGAACAGGAAGCCACAATCATGAATGAACAGGAGGTGATGTAGATCACTCCCATTCATTCATAATTGAGGACACAGTAAACATACTCTGTCCTCAATTTACAAACACTCAGCGATCACTGAGTGTTTGTATACTGCTCTCCATACTGACACACGGTCAGAGGAGGCTGAGGGAGCGCTGTGGGAGCAGAGCTCAGCCTCCTGTGACAGCGCTGGCTGTCTCCGCCCACACCGCTCTCCTGATCTGTGACAGGAGGCTGAGCAGTGCGTGGAGGAGAGAGAGATGCCGGCCACTCACAGCGCTCCCCTCCCCCACAGCGTTCGGCCTACTGTGACAGTTACTCTCCTCCCCGCTAGGGCATGGGTGACAAACAAATACAGCCTGACCTTATTTACCAAGTTCAGGGAACATTCACTTGCACATGGAACTTTCACTATGCTAAGTGAACAGTCTCTAATCCTTTACTAAATAAACCCTGTAACTTAAATAGAATTCCAGTTGTAAATGTTTGGGGACCAGCCCGGAAAATGTCTGTCATTCAGCTATCCTAAAGTTGTGGTAGATTCCTACCTGTGTGCAATGCAAATAACTGGCAGACAATCGGATACCAAATGGAAATCATTGAAGGCCCAATAGTGCCATGTCAGGTCCACTGATGAGCTGTGCCTGCTAATCTCTGTTCCATGAATGTAATCAAATTGAAAATTGGTTAAGGTTTTTAAGCGTGTCCTAAGGGCTACCTTTGGGATCATCTGCTAAAATCATTTTAATTCAATATACAGATTGTATTCTGCAATGCATGTTAATAAAGTCTAGATGTTTGGAAGCTATTAAATTGGTTTACCCATGCATACGTTGACTTGACTTTAGTACATGATAGACATCACATGGTAGAAGACTAGAGGTGCACCGAAATGAAAATTTCAAAACCAAAATGAAAAAAAATATATATGTCAGGCCGAAACGAAAAATGTTTTTATTCCAACTTCTTAAAGATTTTTAAAATATTTTATTTAATTTATTTTTTCTAACCTTTTTAATTTTTTTTATACTTTATTCATTTTTAGTAAATATTTGTATTTTTTACTTTACTTTTAGGGGCTTCTGGGAATTAGGGGCCTAAAGAGACCCCTGATATTTCCCTTTTAAAATAGAAAAAGAGATTGAGGACACAGAGTCCTCAATCTCTTCTTCTGCAGCCCCTGTTATAAATGAACAGGAAGCCACAATCATGAATGAACAGGAGGTGATGTAGATCACTCCCATTCATTCATAATTGAGGACACAGTAAACATACTCTGTCCTCAATTTACAAACACTCAGCGATCACTGAGTGTTTGTATACTGCTCTCCATACTGACACACGGTCAGAGGAGGCTGAGGGAGCGCTGTGGGAGCAGAGCTCAGCCTCCTGTGACAGCGCTGGCTGTCTCCGCCCACACCGCTCTCCTGATCTGTGACAGGAGGCTGAGCAGTGCGTGGAGGAGAGAGAGATGCCGGCCACTCACAGCGCTCCCCTCCCCCACAGCGTTCGGCCTACTGTGACAGTTACTCTCCTCCCCGCTAGGGCACAGAGCAGCGCCCAGCAGGGAGGAGAGAAATCACAGATGCATCACTATTTCAGCCAAAACAATTGAACTTTCGGCATTTTGCCAGAAGTGTAATTTTCGGGCGATATGTTTCGGTGGCCGATCAGTGCATCCCTATAGGAGGCACTTTAGGAAAAGTCCTCACAAAACATAAGTTACCTGTTTGGTAATGTTTTTGAAGTAATAAAGTTAAATCAGTTAAGTATGGAAGCAATTTTTTAAAAGGCTTCAGAAAAAATGGAAAGAACAACATTTCTGAATACCCAGTGCATATTATAAAGATACGCTGGATACTTTACCATTCTTCAGATTGAACAGCTGTCTGGTGCTCAGGTCAAACAGCAAGACCTACTAGTGCATGCTCAGCCTCAGAGTTGCCACACAAAAAAAATTAATGACAATAAATCTTATATCATTACAGCACAGTGGCGTTGTGGTAAGCGCTTCTGCCTTGCAGCACTGGGGGCCCCTGGTTCAAATCCCGGCCACGTCACTATCTGCAAAGGAGTTTGCATGTTCTCCCTGTGCTTGAGTGGGTTTCATCCCACACTCCAAAAGACATGCTGGAAGGTTAATTGGCTCCTCTTTAAGTTGGCGCTCTATGTATGCATGTGAGATAGGGACCTTAGATTGTAAGCTCCTTGAGGGTAGGGACTGATGTGAATGTGCAACTATGTAAAAGTACTGGTCTTGCTGTTAGACCTTAAAGTAGAACTATGGGCACAATTTTTAAAAGAAATGACATTATGCTGCATCTATCGGTAGCATTATGAAAGCAGTTTTAGTTTTTTCTCAGGCTGTTCTCACTGTAATGGATGTAGAAAAGCATCAATGCAGTGTTAACATAGCCTTGGTCATTCCATCATGGACCTGGCTTTGTGTACAGTTTACAGAGAGCACACATATGCAGGTCTGGAGCATTCCTAAATGCTATAATATTCTACAGCAAACAAGCAACTTACCCATAGCTGGTCATCATGCCCAGGAGGGCTCTTTTTGATAAAAGCACCATAGTATGTGGCTATATTTCTGTGATGGGAATATTTCTTCAGCATATTGATTTCCAGTTTAATCTCCTCCTCTTCATCCTGTGTAAAGATTAAAAAGATAGGTTATGATCACAATACAACAAAGGAAGAACCAATCCCATAACAAAGTCCCTAGCTGACTTTCGGGTTGCATTAGTGTGTACATCCATATACTTACTGGGTGATGGATACACAGGAATCTGTATTAGAAAATTATTCCAAACCTGCTGAGTGGACTAAAAAGGTATACAGAACCAGGACTTTCAAATGATTTATAGTATCGGTTCGCAGACCTACCAATATTTTACAAAGCTTAGCCCCTTCTATATTTAAATAGTGTGTATGTGCAAACTAGGACAACGCATTACAGTACAGGTACTATGAAGGCAAATACATTAAAATATGGCCAAAACAAAAGCCTAATCCGAAGTAGCCACTGCTTGAAAAGGTATTTAACATTAAACTCTGATTATACAAATCTCAGGTGTTCAGAATATGAGAAACTGTCCCCATAGGGGTGACAGACAGAAATAAGCAGCTCATAAATGTTAGCTATCATCAGACGATGGTAAATGGATTAAAACACCTCAGCTCTACAGACTGAGTTTTCTAGCGATGTTTGCCTAAGAATGTTATGGCTGTTTAAACGTAGACTTCAGACCAGTATCTAAAGTGTAGGGGGGGGGGGGGGGGGCGTCGACCTGCGATGAAAGACA